GAAAATATTCAGGAACTCAAGGGCAAGATAGTCTGACAAAATTTTTAAGAGTGAAACTGTCAAATTCCTAATAATTTAAATGATATAATTCAATTATATAAATATTTATGCATTTCAAAGCTTGCACTTGAAGTCTATGTAAAGAAACCTCTACTCAGGTTTTCCAAACAGTGGTGTGTGTATCCTGTACAATGAGCCACAAACTTTTGTTGCTGCCGCTGGTGTCAGTAGTGATAATAAGTCACCACAGTAATTTTGGGAATCCATGCCTAAGAATTTCAGTTACTTAATGTCTTGATGAAATTAAGTTTTTGTTTCATTTTGTTTTGGTTTTAATGTCTTGGATATAATATTTCTATACAAAGAGATTCTAAAGGCTGAAGAAACCATTTCTGCAAACTTGTAGTCATTAGCTATGTATCAAGTTCAATCCTGCATATAATAGTTACCAGAAACGTTTCTGCATATGCCTGATAGTTTGTCATTCTGTATTTTATAACCTGACCTAGGATAAAGTTCGAGATCTGAGTTGCCCTCCTGTGAATCTGATCTCCACGTTGACTGTCTCTGTAGCTAGGACAGGTGGGCTCCCAAGGCTGTGCTTCCTCAGTTGGTCTGGAGGTTCTAAGTTCACAAATTTGGAACTTAATTTGTTCAATCTCCACTGAGTATTTAAAGTCAGGTGGAATGAAGCTGGATCTAAGCTCGCACCGTCTGTTGGAATTCATTCTTCAAATAACTTATTTCCACAGGGAGCCCCAAGGCCACTGGACACCTAATTTCTGCCAACTTTGAAAATCCTAGCTGAGATATAGCAAGTCACATGTAAACAAATAAAAAACAACAAAACAAATGTTTTGCAAAATGGGCATATGCTATTAAGATTGATGTAACTATATTCATTCATTTGACGTTCTGAAATTGCAAGTATGTACAGGTCAATTTAATCTGTATCCTTCATTGGTTCCCTGCAAATGGATCCTATGCCTGTGTCGATCTGCAGTGAAGAATGCACCTATAAATATCAGGCTGCAGAATCAGCGGCTTGCAGCAACTACTGTAGCTCTTGTTATGCAGAATCAGGTAGCTTTTATAAAATACGTGCAGGCATTAACAATAGGAAGAAATGTCAGTTTCTGTCAGGATGGAAATAAGAAACGTAATAACTCAGATAAATTAATTTCTTCTTCTGATTCTGCCTGCAGCTTCGGCTAAAAGACCTGGACACTAAACAAGAGTTGGGTTTTCACACTGAAACCCAATGGCTGTTTGGAGAAGATGGATCTGAGACTGTGACAGAGCTAGCAGCGGTCAGGCCAGACAAGCCACCGCTCAGGGGTATGCTGCTGAACTAAAAAAGAAATACATGAGCAAATGCACACACACATGTACACAAAATTGTGAACTGCCTAATGGGATGAACACAGTGGGAAAGATTGAAAAGCTTTTTATATTTATTAAAAAAACCCTCAAAACTATTTTTGAAGATTCATTCAATATACCTGTGTAAACCGTGTGGGACCTTTAATAATGTGTATTGTTCAAGCATTTTTTCTGTTTTAAAACAACTGATGTATTGTTTGCACTAGGCTAAGTACCAATTTGAAAGTCTGAAAAATGCACAAAGCCCAATTAATATATTTCTGTCAAAATTTTCAAAAAATGACTGATTTACACTCAGTGAGGGACTAAATCACAGGTTTAAAAAAGGCATGTGTGAAGTCATAATGGCATGAATCACAAAAAGAAAAAACAATCTTTTCTGAGGTTTTCTTCAAGCCCCATTTCTGCCCCAGAAGCTTTGTTTCATTTCATCATTGTATTTAAAATATGATAACATCTTCCTTTGTTCTGATTACATTTTATGAAATATTTAGAAAAGAATTCTCATTCATTATAATCTACGAACAAAAGTCTTAGCTAAAATATTTAAAACTTTCTGCATTTAATATCTAACTGAAGGCTAGACTGCAAATGGAAATATATCTTAACAGTCTGTTATAACATTTAATTCTTCACAGAGCTTACAGAAGCTATAAAAAAAATCTTCTGTCATGCTGCCTCAAGGAATATGTACTATATAACTCATCAGCCAAAAGTCATGGCGAGACATCCTTTGTGGTGAAGAATAATAATAACAATGCATATCTGTATAAATAACTGGGCCATTTCTCCTGAACATATTTAATGTTGGCCATAATTATCAAAATGCCAGACTAAAACAGAATTCAGCTGATCCAGAACAAAAAGTGGATTTCAACTGTTCTGTCTGTGTTTTTTCTTTGGTGAAATGTTGTTAGAGTTGTTAAATCCTAACTCAGTTTAAGACCTTCAATTCCTACAAGAATTCAAGGCTTTTTACGAAGCCTGATAACATCAGTGTGATTCTTTCAGTTGATTTCAGTGACCACTGGATGAGACTCCAGAACTACAACATTTTCTTTTTCTGTAATGCAGGCATGGATTGTTGCATTGATTCATAAAGGACATTTCATCTCTAATGCTGTACTGTGCTGTTGTGAGGTAGTTAACAATCTATACAAAACTCAGAACATTTATGTTGATTACTATAACTTCATTCCTTGGTCTTGAAATTAATCTTTTACCTAAAATAAATTGGTTTATAGTGTTTGGTAATTACATTGCTAAATAGTCTGATTTGGTAATGTCTTGTGTCACTGATTTTTCATGGCAGGAGTTCTTTACTCGATCAGTGTTCATACGGGAACATTGCCTGCATCAGGGACTCATGCAGATGTATTTATCACAGTATTTGGAGAGCAGGGAGATTCCTGCAAAAGGAGACTAAGACACTCAAATTTTGAAAGAGGACAGGTTAGTACTGAGTTATTGTCCTTACATGTTTGCTTAATGTGTTTTATTTTATTACTTTCTTTCAATACTATATTTCTTTTCAATTATCAAATTCAAGCATTGATGTTACACCGTGGTAACCTGTGAAAAAGTTGTGTTTCTTACTAAGTATAGACACTTTACCCAAATTGGGATTATGGTTTAAGAATAGTTCAAATACCAATACATTTAAAACCCACAAACCATCAGCAACTATTCTTAGAAACTGGAATTGAACCCAATGATATATAAAATTATGTGGCTTAGTTTTCAGTTATTTGTGAAGCTGATACAGAAATACCAGGGCTATTTCCCGTGACCGCTTCTTTGAAATCTTTTTTTTTAAAAGATCTGTCCAGATAGAGTTGAAAGAGAGGTTTTAAATGTGTTAGATACTATATGTTAATTAATCCATAGAATTGCAAACAGGTAAAGCTGCTTGTAAACATACTGTGACTGCTCAAGATAAATCCTAGGAGAGATTTTCTGGTCAACCTTTGCTGATTAACATATTAATGATTATATGTACACAACATGTTCACACATACCCTGGACTCAGCCTGGATATGACTAGATATGTTTTAAAGAGACTTTTCAATTGATCACTGTATAATAAAGCAGGATCCTCTATACTTATTTCATACCGTTTCTTAAGACTTCTTATGGCTGAGATGCCATAACTTTCCTAGGCAACCTGTTCCACTGCTTTGCTAGCCTTGCCCTTAGACAATTCTTCCTTCATTTGCTTTATAATGTCAAAGTATTTTCCCGAGCATAGAAACATAGAAACCAGCCATGTCATCCTTCTGTTCCATAGTCATTGATATTTTTTGTTCTATGAATTTGTGTAAACTCTTTTTAAACGTGATGAGTATCCACAGTCTCCTGTGGTAGTATGGACTGTACTTGATCTGCAACCTGTGTAAAACTTCCACATACTAGTTTCACCTCGTTTCGCTTCTTCTTTTACCAGAAGATACAGTGAGTGGGTTTTTTTTCTGTCACTCTCTCTTTGCTATTCCTGATTTTATAGACCACTATCCTCTGCACACTTGTTTTGTCGCTGGATTGTTCATTGTTCCTCGTGTAGAACATCTCTTTAATCGTGCTACTTACACTTTCCTATATCTTTTTCTGACTCTTCGGTAATACATTTGCAACCTCTTTAAAAATTTGCCATCACCTCCTCTGCTTCTCTTTTTTCTTCTTTGTCAGAGTCTGTTGGCTCAGGTCTAGGTACCATTTTCAGACAACTGTTGCTCTAAATGGACTGTGTGATATAGTGTATAGGGCACTCACAGGCAGGACGCCTACATTCATTTCTAAGCTCAGCCACTGCTTTACCTGATGATCTGAATGTATCATTTTCCCTTCTCGTGTCCCTCATTTCCCACTGTAAAATGAAGATAACCAATAGTTTAGGCAAGAATGAAAAGAGATAAGCATATATATTTCAATGAAGTTTACTTCCCTTTTTATTCACTACTGAAGAAAATGAAATACATCTTTTAATAATATGCTTAATCTCTCCTTTTTGTGGCAATAACCTAGTTTTAGATTCATAACAGTATTTAGTGTCCTGGTATCTAGTGAAATTACTATGCATTGGGAGATATTTAATAATTCGGCCACAGTCTTCCCATCCAAAGTATTTAGGCATGTTTTTCTTTCCTTTTCTTATAGTCCCTTGCAACCCTTTTTTTTTTTTTTTTTTTAAGATGTCATTGTTTGTAGAATCCTGCTGCCTTAGTCCAAACTGTGCTATTAAAATATAGGAAGAGGTTTGTGATGTTGTTTGCCTGGATGATATTATTAAAAATACAGGTTAATTCTTGGCATTTTTGAGGGCAAATGTTTATAGGCAATTAGAAGAGTTAATAAAAGACATAAAGGTACATAGTTTGTGACATAACCTGGAGAAGAGGTCCAAAGAAAAAAGAATTTACACAGCACGTTCAAGCTGGACGTTAATACAGAGTCAGTGACACAGCTCTTAGTGTTAAAGAAATCAGAGCTACTATGTTGAGCAATAGAGAAGAGTGCTGAGTGTCTGCCCAAGCAGATCTTTTGTTTTAGGTGAGCTATTTTTGTACTGTGGACAATGAAAGTTTTCTTCAGCTTAGATACTTTGTGTATTCATGTTCTTCATTGTGCAATAGGTTCTTGGGAAAGGGTTGAGCAGTGAGATGGCAAAGTGTTCTGATGATACTAAGTTATTTAAGGTAATAAATACGAAAGTTGGTGGCAGAGATTGCAGAAGGACCTCACGCAGAGTAACTGGGTAATAAAATGGCAGATGAAATTTGTTATAGCTAAATGAAGAACAGTGGCTGTGAGGGGGAAAACCCCTTAAACTTGCATACAGAATGATGGGCTCTGAAATAGCTTTTACCCATAGGAAAGTGACCTTGGCATTAGGATAGCTCTGTAATGATGTCAGCCCAGTGCTCAGCAGAGGCAAAACCAAAGGAAAACAGAACAGAGCAAATGTTTAGGAATTATTAGAAAAAGGAAAAAACCCAGCCACCCCTAAGTAGAAAATACAATCATGCCTCCAGGTAAGTTCTCTAGTGCGGGTGCATAATAGATGTTGTGTTTTGTTCTGATTCACTTCTTAGGACGAAGTGCAAGAAGAATGTCAAGTGATACAAAATATCTTCTATACAAGGAACAACTAAGCAAACAAGTACTGTTTGGCCTGGAAAAGGAATGCTGAGAGGAAGGGAGAGGGAGACAAGAAATATAAAATGGCATAGAGAAAATGAGTAATTCTACTTTCTTATGAAATACAAGGGCTCAAGAGCATTAAATGAAACCTGCAGGTGGCAGATTCAAAACAAAAGGAGGCGGCTTTTTACACAGTGCACAATTAATCCATTTTACTTTCTTGCACAAGATGTTGCAGATGGTAAAATGCATGTTGGTGCAAAAAGCCATTGCACATTGTCATGGAAGACAGCTTTCCACTGAGGGCTGTTAAGTGCAAAGACACAACCTCTGGCTCAGGAAATCTCTGAACCACAAATTGCTAAAACCTGAGAGACTTTATATTCAAGAAGCATCTCTATATATTTGCCCTGTTTTTCAACTCTTCCCTAGAAACCTGTTATTGGCAGCTGTTGGCAACAGGATACTGGACTAGATGGATCTGCGGTCTGACATACTACTACCAGTTGTATGTTCTTTTTACATAGAAGTAGATTAATAAAAAAGTTGGAATGAGGTCTTAGTGAGAGTATCTAAGAATAGAAGGTGAAAGGAAGGAATGTGAAGGGCAAGCTGTCTTGAGAGACAAGGTCATGTCAGCAATATCCCTGGAAAATATGGAATGGACAGGCAAAGAAAACAAAGTTATGGAAACTTGAGATATGAAAAAAAAAAATCTCTTGCCTGATAAAGGACTGGAATATAAGGAAAAGCTAGGAAGACAGAAAATTACAACAAAGTGTAAGAAAAGAGAGTAAAGTTGATTTAGTTACTGCAGAAACTAAGGCTGGTTTGTATTTAAGTAAATGTATGTCTAATTTTTTCACCAGTTTAATGGGTTAAATAAATGGGGATTGTAATTTTGCCTAGCTAACACTTTATCTAAAGCAAGACAATTTAAATAAAATGTAAATTTTGGCTTTCTTTAATTACACTTCCGGTGGTGTGTTTAATGCAGTTCCGAATGTCTTTATACTGAGGGGAAAAAAAAGAAATGTAATGACATCAACTAAAAGTACATTCTTGCTAATGCTGAGGGAGTAGGCAATTTAATGTATTATTATGAGAATTCATTGATAACAATGGGTGATTATGACCACTGTTGTCTAATGACTGTTAATTATTGTCACAAAGAATGAGACTAATGATAGGTCCCTTTTTCAGATAGAGTTAGCTGTGAAGGAACATGAATATTAGCAATACGGGCTATTTCCTGTAAGTCAAGGGTCATGTAGACTGACAAGAAAATTATATTTGGCTTGGAACTACAAAGAATAAAATTAAAAGGCAATGAGTGCTCCCAAAAAGTTATTTACAAGATGTTCCTCACAGCTAGATCTTATTTTGGGCTACATATGCATTACATGAAGGGCTATAACTTGCCATGGTAACTGTTTGGGGAGATCGTGGATATAACAAGGTAAGAATGCTGGAAGTCCTAAGGCTGTGATAGGAATAACAACTCTGATGTTTTCTTTTTCTGAGCACATTGCAGAGAATAGTCCGACACAGACAGGAGAATGCACCAGATGACATAATTCTTTCTAAAAATCATCTCTTCCTTTGTTGCTTTCTGGCCCTCATGCTTTTTCCTGCCTGGTAGCAAATTGGTTGGCAACAAATAAAAATTATAGCGTCTGTTTCTACTATCCATCTGGGTTTTTTTTTAATGTCACTCACACACATGCCCATGTATCTACCCTCCCACTCATATTATCTCTTGCACGGAACACATTCATTCTCTCACTCACATAATTTATTCATCCCAACATGCACTAGTGCAGTTGCCATTTAGCTTTTGTTTACTGGTAGCCGTAGCAATATTTAAACAGATGTCTATTTACATCTGAAGAGCACATCAATTCTTGCCTGTATGCGTGCACAGCCTTAGTTATAGTTTCTAATGTCAGTATCTTCCTTTGTTTGCATAGTCATCAACAGTGTCAGTATTTCTGTTCAGAGTTGAATAATACGACACTTCCCATTTTAAGAATAGGATGTCTTAGAATATAAAAGACGTTGAAAAGTTTAAAAATAAGATGTCTTATCTAAACCAAAGTTCAATTTACTAGGCCTATCCTGATATTTGAAACACTCCCTTTGTTTCAGTTATGAGGGATTGGTTGAACTTCAATTTTCATGAGACTTCTGTAAGTAAATTAATGATCAGAGGTTTCTTTCTACCCAAAACAGTGGAATGTTTTTCATAGTAAAGCCTGGGATGTAGTGACCATGAACAAAGAAACAGGTACATATTCAAGGATCCACACATTTTCTGAACAGGGTCTCCAAATACGAATGTCAGCCTATAATATCTTTCTTTACTATCAGAAAGGAAAAGATACTTCAGCAGTGAAAGGAATCTGTCTTTCCAAACATAATCTTCTTAAAGGTGGACGATAAAATATATGATTTAATCAGTTTTCTATTCATTTTGCCTTTACCTTCTCAGGTTTGTATCTCTGAAATGAGAGCAGTAGACCTTGGACAGTTAAGCAAAGTGCTTGTTGAGCACCATAATATAGGTTATGGAGCTGGATGGTACCTGGACAAAATCGTCATCCGTGAATCAGGCAAGGCTGATGGCCAATACGCATTTCTTTGCCAGCAATGGTTAGACAGTGGAGTTGGTGATGCACAGACGGAACGAATGTTGAAACTTCTTGGAAAAGTCAGGAATGGGATGTTGACAGGAAAGATTTACGGTAAGGTCCAAAATCATTAAAGCTCCTTCCAGCTTTCGTTTTAATTGTAATTCATATCATTTTTCGGGTTATTTTTAAGACTAAAACCAAAATATAGAAATAATCTAGCTTAAATATGAGTTGCATCTCTCACACAAATTGTCTCTCCAAACACTTTCTAGAGCTGGTAAATACAATTGTAATGTTCAGGGAAGAAAGACTAGAGCAGAAGGGAGATATTAAGTGATGGAGGCAATGAAGGAACTATGTTTTTAGTTCAGGCTAGAAAAAAGCTGAAGCAGAAAGAGGTAGGTTGTTCCATATGGCAGTCAATGCAGAGCAGAAGGCTCCTACACAGTAATGAAATCACAAGAAGAGATACAAAAACTCTTTTAGCAGAATGAGATTTTCCCGTATGTTCATAGATTTGCAGAAAGCATTTGCTTTTATTTGCAGTTTTCTTTTTTACTTACATCAATGGCACAAGTTCTTGCAAACAGTGAGTTGACCTGAACCCAATATCCTATTCAAATTGTTTAATGAAAAAAAGACCAAAATTTGGAAACAACTTACACACTGAAAACATGGTAAGTCTTTTATGCTTTGCCAGAGTACTGGATTTCTTAGCTCTCTCACATGTCTTTTTTGAAGAGGTGTAAAATGTTGGTTTGGGTCCATTTATGAAATCTGAATCAGAACTGGTAGACCAAACTATGTAAAGTTTAACTAATCTGAAGGTGTGAATTTGCATTCTATATCAGCAGTTTTGTAAACAGATCTTTATTAATTTCTATGCTCATGCATATTTCATTTTATGCTCAGAGAGTTTTATATCATACATAGTTGCAGACACAGTTATTAGCGTGTATCCTCATATTTAGCTGCCTGTATTTAGTCCACTAGCAAATATCTTATATCATCTAAGGAAATAGAAAAATAATGTCGCTGAGACAACAGAAGGACAGAATACCATGGAAATATAAGCATAGGATGAGCAGCTAGAGTAGTGACAATTTCAGAATAAGAAATAGCTGTATTGCACCACTGCAAGTATTCCAGGTCTCTAAAAAAGTACATTCCATAGGTGTCCTAGATAATCCACAGAGCGAGGCAGGTGTCTCCTGAGGGCAATTCAGAGCAGAAGCCCAAGGTTGGTCAGAGTCTGTTGCATCTTTCTTCACTGACAATATGAAAAGTGAGAGAAATCTTGCATCCTTGTTTATGCACCTTAATTAGGGTCTGAATGTAGTTATGTAAAAACATTTTCCTTCCTCTGTTTCCCACACACACATAGTCCTCAAAAATCTGAGTGCAGACTTGCTAATATTTTCCAGTCTATGATTATTAATACTCAGCTCTGTATCAAAAATCAGTTCTGGTCTGGGCGTATAATAACTTTAGAAAGAATATGACAAGTAAGCAGAGAGCCTGTAAGGAATGGAGAAATAAAAGACTGATCAGCAAAGAGCGCTATGCCTTAGAGGTCAGAAAGTATATGGATACAATGGGACTTACTAAATGTCAAGCTGAGTCAGATTTTATAAAAGAATTAAAACAAATAGTAAAGGTTCTTCAACCATTTACTTATAAAAAGAACCTGGAAAGATGTGTAACTATGCAGGAACAATAGGGTGCAGACTGAAGGTGATGTAGGTAAAATCCCTAAACAAACAGAATACTTTATCTCTGTTTTCATTAAGGAACCATAATGTTGGCAAGGGAAGCAAAACCAAAATTACTAATGGGAATGAGGTTATTGGAAATCACCAAATCTGAAATGCAAATAGAACTTCGAGTTTCATGTAGTCAAACAGTGACAACCGGAGGAGTCGTTAGCCCAGAGTATGGAAGGAACTGGGAAATGAAGTGGCAGATCTAGTAGCAAGGTTTTCAAACAATTTTATGAAGACAAAAGGTATGACTTGAAAATAGCAAAGGTAATACCTCCATCTAAAAATTAGAAAGCATGATGTAGGTGACTATAGACCTAGTAATGGATCACATGCAAACCTTTATAACACACTTTGAAGAAAAGAATAGTTAAGATAATAGAGGCAAATAGGAAATGAGAAGGAATGCATCATGACTTTACTAAAGACAGATGTAAAACAAAGTTGATACTCTTTAGAAATATTTTCCAATAAGAGAAATGTAATAACATCTAATCTGTCTAAATTTCAGTACTGAATTTTATTTGCTTTATGGGATGTTATTAGGTAATAATAAGAAAGTGGAAAGTAGTAGTAAAAGGAAGAATTGTAAAGAGTTGGAGAAGAGAGGATGAATATGCTGATGAAATCTGGTGGTGCTACAAAGCTGAGAGTACTATCAGGAGATGAAGAGGTTGTGTGATAAACTTTGAGAACTGGAGGAAAGCAATGGAACTGAATTCTGTAACACAAAGCTTGAATACAATTAGGTGTAAACCCAAATAAACATTTGAGCTCTTAATTCTGGTACAGATTCCTAATTGCCATTCATTTTTTGGGGAAATTAGGAACTAAGTGGCAGCTAAGAGTCTAAAAACTGTATTGGATCTGTATCCCCATGTCTTGTAATGATTTCTGCTACAAGAGTTCATCAGCAGGATATGACTAGGAGAAATACTTGGGTTTGCTATATGATCACAGGATAAATTTTTAGACAGTAATGTGACATGGCTGTGAGTAAAGTAATTGTGACCCCACAATGTATGTAGCCATTATCAGTGAAGATAGAAAAGAATTAATGCCACTACAGAGAAACAGTGATATTTCACCGGGAATGCTGTGTGCCGTTGTGGTCAACTCTGTCCAGAAGGACTGGTTCAAGCTGGAATAGCTGTAAAGAAGACATGATGACTGGGGATATGGCAAATCTTTGTTGTGAAAGGGTATTGAAAAAACTTGACATGCTCAGCCTAGCAAATTAAATGCTCAAAATGGACACAGTTGTGATCTAGCAAATTAATGGTGGCTTACACATCAAGGGGGGAAGAGTTGTTTAAGCTAACGGACAAAGTTGTCATAAAAATAAATGGGTTTCAGCAGTCCGTTAATGCCATTCTGTGAAAATTAAAAGATTTCTGAGAAAGAAAGAAAGAATTTTTAGCATAGCTCTCTTTTAGACTTAACTGAAGCGAAGGAAAGAAGCTTAATGTAGCTGCTTTTAAATTGAATCTTGACAAATTTATCAGAGATTATACAATATAGTTAACGTAATAGCAGTGTATGGTACTGTATGATCCAACAGAGATAGTCCTTCCATTCAGTCTTCCTAGGCAGTTATACATTGATAGTTTAAAGGCTTAATATTTCAGTACTAAAGGGCTAAAAACTCTTGGATTATGTCACAGGGGATATGATAAATTTTCATTTTACTTCCATTTTTTCACGGATATCATTGATTTCATTTATATTTAATGTTCATAGACATGAAAATGGTAGCTATTTATGATTATACATAAAGTCATAACAACTGAGGTTATTTTAGTTGATTTTAAAGGTGGTGAGTACTAACATTTTACCTTCACCAAGTCTTGAATTTATGGCACAGATCCTCACCTAATCTGAAGTAATAAAGCTTTATTGGCATTAGTTTATAGTAGGAGATAAAGATTTGCTTGTTGTGGTTAGGAAGCTGGACTTTACAGGACTATGAACATAAACTCAGAAAGTCACTGTTTCCATTACTCAAAGTAAAATACCCTGTTTTACAAAATAGCTATGTGAAATTATTAAATCCATACTTTGCCTCACTTTGCATAAACAGAGCTAATAAAAAAGATAATGCTCATTTCTGCACCAGCCCAGGTGACCAAAGCCTCTCTGTAGGAGTCATGATTTTTTAAAATGGAAAACATGGTTTTGATAGCCCTGAATTTTCCATATATGCTATTAACACGAATTAAAATGTTAAAGCTAGCTAAATCAGTGGGATTTTTTTGATGGGTGCAAGTTTCTGATCCTGAAAACTGTCTTGTTGATTGGAAATTTAACTAAATATCTATTGAATATAGAGTTACAGAAGTTACTTAGAAGCCTACCTGATATCAGTCTGCAGTCCTTATGAGCCTTCAGGTAACTGCCAATGCATTGAGAATGTTTAAGAGACTAAGTGCTTCAAATCAGACCTTTAGTTTGAACATGAGCTACTATTCTTTTTCAATATAATTTTGCAATTTTTTTTAAAAGTAAAACTGCTGGTTTTGAGTGGTTTTTGTGTCCCTAAAGTAGGCAAATCTATGTGCTGTTATATAGGATTATTTTTAATCTCCCAGCAAATCTTCACAGAAGAAATGGATAAAGTTTTGTACTTTGCTGGCATGATAATTGTGGTGATCTGTGATAAAAATATCACATTTCAAGCTCTGAACCAGTTTATCTCATCAGCATCTTGTTATAGAATATATGTAGCAAGTTTTAACATTCAAGTTTAAGTAGCTCCTCAAAAAGTTAAAATGAAAAAATACCCTCCCCTGACCAAAGGCAAACCTGATAACCCGTATTATCTAGTAGAAAATATGCTGCTTTTGAGTGGTGATTAGTAAGGAAAAAAAATTAACATCATCAGAGGAAACATTTATGACAGGAAAAAATCAACAGATTGGCATGGCTCTTCACAAGTCTCTAATATGGAACTGGCAGTCTTCTCTGCATAGTGCTACTGGACTGGCCCATCTCTAAAGGGTCGGCTATCACTACGGAAGGGCTGGTGTCCAAATCTGCTTCTGACTAAATCACTGATAATGAGTGAACCTGTTACATGCCGATATTTTAGCTCAGTGTAAAGGCGGGAATGGGTTGCTAGTCACTCACTAACTCAGCCTGCTACAAATTGCTATATTATGTTGGATGTTCAGCAAACCCATTTATTTTTTTCTACTGTTTTGTTTCCACAGGGACTTGGGATGTCCTTGTCACAACTAGTGATATTTCTTCTAGTTCCATGAATCCTAAAATGTGTCTAACTGTATGTGGTGAAAAAGGTACCTGTACTTCAGTCATATTCCCCAAAGGATCGCTTAAAAAAAAGCAGATTTATGAGACTTCAGTTGAACTAAATAAGAAATTCAATACTATATTCAAAGTTCGCCTAGAAATTGAAGAAGCTGGAGAAGGAGAGACTTGGCATTGCCGTGAGGTAAAAAATAAAAACTAAAGCAATTATTTAGACACTAATTGTATCTTTATTGTAAAATTCTCCTTTTTTTCATATTCTATGGTTATTGCTTCCAGTTTCCAATTCTGCCTGAAATGACATAATTTTTAATTTATAAAAGTAAATGTATCTGGTAACAACACTTCTAGCGTGATAACTTCAGAGACTGCTCAAAACACTTACTAGGATAGCTATGGATAACAAAAATCTTGTAAACTTAGATGGATTTCTGGAAGGCATATATACAGATGTGCCATCATCTATAGCGTATCCAGTGGTGTCTTTTCAGAACTGTACCCACTGGCATACACTGCAGTATTTACATAATTCCAAACTGGCTGTTAAATGTTGTAGACCCAGTGATCCAAGGCAAATAATTAAGCCAGACACTAGAAATGCCTTTTGATGAAAATATTTGCCTTTTAAGTTGGCATGTGAAAAAAAAGAAGTGAATAGCAAAAGTGACAATCTTCTGATGTCCAAGATGCTGAAGCTAAAATCTGACATCGCACTGAAATTGCTGTGGCACTTCACTATACAAAAAAATCTTTATCCTCTTATGTTGGCAAAATAAAAAGAAGTCTAAGGGAAAGAATCATCTTCTTTCAAATTGCATACACACTTTTGTCCATTAATGTTTGTATTTTGTTCTCATTAATATCCGGAGAAAAAAAAATTTTTCTGTCCAGTACATGATATTAGTGAGCTGAACCCCCTGACATTTAAATGGTAGGCAGGTGGTTAATTTCGTCTTTGTAGCCAGACGAAATAGTCATCTAACAAATCTATTGATAAAATTAAGACTGATTCTTGGAAATTGTAGGAGACAGTGGATCACAGTAAAAATTTCAGAACGGAAACTTGGCAGTAGAAAACAGTGACATCTATTAGCCTGTTTTACTTCATTAGCTCAGAACAATGACTCAAAGCTGAGTTAAAAAAAAAAACAAAACCCAACATAATTTATATAAGTAAGGAAAAGATGCACATTTACATTAGGTAGGATTAGAAAGAGAAAGAAAATATAAATTTCCCTATTTTGGGGTGTATGTAAATTATTGGGGTTTTAGGAAGATATTTCCTCTGTTATTCCATGGATTCCAAGGCAGGACTGATTGAATCCTTGTATGAAATAACCAGGTTGGTATAAGAGGTTGTGGATAATATCTGTTACTAAAGACAGCTTAGCAGTCTATTTACACTGCTGGTTAGAACCAGGATGGTTATTTCTACACTATTTAATTTTGATTTTACAAGATTGCACATCTCAGAGTGAGATTTCCCCCTTCTATCACAAGTAAATGCAGGTGCAGTTGGTTGAATTCCATGTTTAGATTCAGAATTCACTTTTATAATCCAAACTGCAAAATTTTGGATTTTTATATAATTTGCAATTATAATCCAAACTCTTGATGTTTTTGAGGAAATTAAAATCATTATAAAATAATGTCCAGAACAAAATTAATTAAGATGTGCTTTATTTCTGAAGCATGTAATAGCTAACATCTTTATTCTTGCTTCTTTCACTTCTTGAAGAAATAAAGCACAGTTAATGAAATCTGATTTTCAAGAAACTGTTCAGGAATGTAGATGTTAGTATGAAGGGGAAATTGTATTAATTTATTATTAATTTAATTATTAATTTATTATTAATTTAATTATTACTTTACACTGCATTTTAAAAGATCTTTTCAATGTGTCTGTCATAATGAAAAATAATAGGAGACTTTTGAAGACAAAATAATGCTACCATCTCCCAGTGACGATCGCTAAGCAAAGATGGTTGAGCTTACTGGGTTAAGGCTTCGGTCATTTTAGTGAGTTAGGTCATGAAGAAATGCATAAGTGAATTCTCTGTGCCCTTTTCAAAGCAGGGTTACTTCCTGCAACATATTTTCAAATATGTTGTCTGGTCTAGCTTTAAATAGTTTAGAAAATGGTACCTTATCTCTTAGTGTAGCTGGTAGTACCATAGTGTAAGACACCTCATTATTCAAATATGTTTTCTCATAGTAAGACTAAGCTCCTTAGCTCAGGGTCACCCTTTTATTACTTATACACAGAATTTCATAGAGGTTAAAAATATTTAGTAACATACTCTATATTTTCATATGATACATATGTACAGATATATATACATGCCATAAAACATTCTTAATTTCTGTTTTTCAGTTTTTGCCAGAAACACTTCATTTTCTTTCTCCTGTTACTTAGAATGAGAAAACATTCTGCACTGAAAAATGTTGTGGCATATTGACATTTCTCACAAGCTGAAATGGGCATATCAACACTTCTTTTTCTTCCATATGCTGGGTGAATAGTTTACATAAAGGAACCTTTCTGAACCATTCCGAATAGTTTTTTCCCTTACTGCAGTCTCTATAGCAATAATGTTGACAACATTTTAATTATTTTTAATTGGGAAAAATATCTATTCTTTCTCTTTTAAAAGGCTGCTTTCAAAAACATTTTAGAAAAATTTATTTCCTCTTCTTTTTTAATATTGAGATGATGTGTCATAGCTGTTTAATAGTATGTCTTCTGCTATAGTTTCCATTAGAGCATAACAGATGTTGAAGGTATTTCTTTTTGCTCTTTGCTAAGGTAAAGCTTCAACACAGAGAAAGTAAAAATGTTCTAGAATTTCCATTTTGTCGCAACTTTGCAGATGAAGAAGGAGGAAGAGTGGCTGAGCTTCCAGTTCTCACAGCTGGCTCTCCTTTTCCAGCAGGTTTGTCACAAATCAGAAACGCTGGAAAATATTTGCTCAGTGATGATGGCCAAGATTTTCAGAGCAGTCCAAAGGATTTAGCAGATACTTTCTCTTCATTTTAGCTAGTGATGCATGGCTAGGTCCAATCCACTCCAGTGTTTAAAAAAAAAAACCTCAGTCCCTGTAACTGAGCATTGTGCATTCAAGTCTAATTGGTATCAGCTTGTGACACATAAAAGAGCAAGCATACAGCACTGAAAATATTAAAAAAGTTTTGAACAGTAGTCAGAGTTCAACTTTTTCTCAATAATATGATTTGGTTCTCTCCCAGAGGAAACAAAGGAAATCCAGAGGAAATAACTCTCGTATTGTAATTTCAGATAAGAAGGAGATCCATGGCCCCTCACAACAGAAGCTCATTTGTTTGTGTTCCTAGAATTTCAGGCATTCTTCTGTGACCTTGCAGTTATATGTCATGAAACTCCTTCATGCAGGTTGTGCCTTGATTACCTCAAGACTGGATATTTTTAGTTTGCTCTGTGTTTCTTAGGAGGTTTTATAGCCAAAGTTAGTGAAGAATGGAAGAGCTCTTGTCCTAAATGGATATTCTGCCATGAGACTATCCCAGTCTCCTCCAAGTGTTTCCCAGGAGTTAAGGGTTTAGATCAATAGACCAAGTAATCTGTGTATCCCTTGTCTTTCCTGCTGTGCTTTCAAAGCTAGCCTCAAAAAAAGCACTTGGGCAGAAGCTCCTTGAATACGAATTTGAGAAGAGTACTGCTGGGGTATTCCCTGGGAAGGCTCTTTGTCTTTTAAATACTTTATTTTTTTTTTTTTCCGGCAGAGCAGAATATTTAAATCTTTACAAATGCTGCTCCTCTTTCCGAGGAGCATTTAACATGAGGACAGATATTGTTTTCTTTACCTTCTCCCCATACTTTTTCCCCTTTTACAATTGAATATTTTGGGGATGTGGTTTCTTTCTTATTCTGGGGGCCAGATCACCAGTGTGTTATGCATTACTCTGGGAGTACAAACAGGTGCTTAACATAAACAGTCATCCAAGAAATGCTCAGCTGAAGACTTGTAAGTAAGATGATTCTATGATTCTATGATTTTGTGATTCTATGACATGTCAGAGAACAGGATACATTTCTGGAAATCCTCTGCTGAGGCCAATAACTGCAACTGGTACAGTGTAGAGCAGCCAGCCGCTGACTGGACCATGATCCAGGGGAAATACAAAAGTTGCTGTCTTTCTGACAGAGTTCAGCTTCATTTGAACTCCGTGAGGCTCAGAGCAGAGATGGACTTTTTATTTGAATGCATGCAAGTGTGTGGTAGGGTATTATTTACATGTTTTTATAACAATTTGGGATGTGTTTATTTTTCTTTCCTTTTCTCTTCTGCCTGTGTTTCAGGCCCGCTCACAAACTATTCAGTCTATTATTCCCTATAATAGTGGTTCTTAAATTTTAATTACAATTGCTTTGTGCTTTTCTAAGCATTATAATATAGTTTGGCCTTTTGATCACTCTGGGCAGGACCAAAAATGAAAATATAATAGTAGTAATTTATTAAATAACACATTTTTTAACCGATTAGGCTTTGGTAAACATTTGATTTCTTTTTCCCAACAGTGAAAAGCTATGTTCTCTATGTCACTACGGGAGCACCCCCTGGGTCAGGAACAGATGCAGATGTGTATGTCATGCTGCAAGGTCTTTTGGGAGATACTGGCAGAAGAAAATTAATCAGAAAAGGAGATGATAATTTCACTAATGGAAAGGTATCCTTATAATTTCTGCATGATGTTTTGCACTTTTATAACCCAGTCCAATTCACGTGGACTTAATGGGAGTAGGATAGAATCTACGAAGTCCAGTTTGCAATGCTCTGTGGTTGTAAGTGCATGTGTACGTGAATATCTAGATCTATCTTACGTGGAAAATACTGATGCTTATGCAGCTGATGCTAACAATACTGATAAAGTAATAAAGTGACTATATCAAGTGCTTTTAGCTTCAATTTTGCAAATATCGAAGGTCTTCAGTGACATGCCAGTGGTTTTCCTGCATATTTGCTTAGCCATAGAGTTACAAAGATACTCTGTTTTCTTTAATACCTCTTTTCTTCCCATGCCGTTCTTCAGGCTAAGGCTCCTTTCCCTGGCTTTTGCCTTTCCACTGCCAGTCTGCCCCTCAGTCTGGCTTTTGGTCTCTCTCCAGACAGTCAGCCACTACCCTCCATAGTTTTCTTAGGTCTACCAAGAGAGTCATTCATTCACTGTACAGGAGTGAGTCTCGCAGCTCATAGATTTAGACCAGTCAAAGACCAGCATAGCTGCCAGAGATGCATTTGCCCGTAACATTGTCAGTATAAACAGAAATTAGAGGGAATTGAGTTACTGCTGTAACTAAACATGTTCTGTGCTGCAGAAACATGGGCAGATTTACAGCAAAATGCATGTCTTTGACATAAAACCTAGTTCCTGTTGGAAGCTCTGGATAGAGGGAGTTAAAAAGGTCACTAGATTTTTTAAACATGGAATAAACAAAGTGTTTGTATTTTCTGTGGATCACATTTGAGGCTTAAAACAATTTAACAAAGATTCTGAAACAAACATCTGTTACAGAAGATTTGAGTTGGACTAGTTAAAGTTCAGAAAAAGAAACACCAGTGTCTCGCAACCAGAAATGCTGAGCATATTTTACATTAGGCAGTGCTACCTGTCTTTCTTATAGTGTGCACTCTTCTACCTTTCTGAAATCTCAGTGAAGACTGTGATTATGGTATTCTAACCTGTCCCTTTTCTGGAAATATCATGCAGTAAACTATTTCCTTCTGCTGGTGTTGGCTGGCAAGCGAATGAGAGTTTCTCTAAGGAAGCGAGCTTGCAAATCAGCTTAGGTTGATAACCAAAGCAGAGGCATGATATGTGGGATTAGGAGGAGCTCAGGTCCTAACTACCCCCAGCTTCATTAATTCAGTGGGAGTTGAAGGGGGTCATTATCTTACTGGATTTTACCTACTTGAAATGCTTATTCATAAGAAAAATAAAAGAGTTTAAATCTTTATTTTTAAGGGACTAAATACTTGTGGATGAGGGTACTCAGTTTTGATAAAGGCACATTTGTCTTCCCTAATGCTGCAATTCAGATTATGGTTTATTGACAAACAGATTTAATTGGATTTTAGAGCTGCAGTCCTTTCGTCCTCAAAGTTAGTTAACGTAAGTTTCACTGGATTTCTCCTTAGATCATAATTCCACAAATGAGCAATCTGACTTCTAGACTGGTAGTTTTTAATGAAGAGGGACCAGCGATGCACATTCAGAAATGTTGCCTAAGAGAACAGAAATGAACTACAAAGATTCATAACCTGAAGGGTGTTTTTATAATATTTGCGTCTACTTCAGTGTGGCACAGAATTTTCCTGTTTTACAGAGTAAGAGGCAGAGCTGGCATGTACCCATCTCTTCATTACTTATTTGACATTTTATGGGAGCAGTGTGTGAATGTAACACAGTATCCTTGTATTTCTGAAAGTACATACCTGCATAGGAATATTTTAGGGCCCTAAGAAGAAATTGCTTGTAAATACGTAATAAAGAAACACAGAAAAGTCTTGATTTGCTTCTTGTTCAGTGAAAATAGAGTAAAAGTATTTGGTTAATTGACAAAGTGTAAATTGATTCTGCAGGCAAGACCCCTGCCTTTGCAGCAACATTTTGTTCATGACAGGTTTTGGAAATTTCCCAATGTTTTCTTCCCTTTATAAGTAATCTCCAAAAAGACTCTCAAGTGTAGAATGCCTCTTTCTATACCAGCCCAATCACATATTGTGCTGAGCACCCCTGCAGTCAGAGAGTCTGGACTTGGTGGTTTAGGCGATTTTGGAGTATAACACACAGAATTTGCATTCTGAATCTTAACAGTTGTTCTGACATTTTAAAATGTGCTTTTCCTTGCAATAATTTTTCCCCTGACTATACAGTAAGAGCTAGTGAACTGGAACGGTGTTTCTGTTAGAAATCACATCAAAATATGGTGTTAGTCTCACAGAATGTCAGGGCTGCTACAAACGACAGTTTAGCAATGCAGAAATACATTGAAATGTTTAAATATTCAGGGGACTTTGCAGTGGATTGGAGATATGCTTCTCTCGTTTAACAGGTCTTTTGTTTACATGAGCTGAGTTACATGATAGTAAAAGACTGAATAGCTTCTTATATCTGAAAAGTTGCTTTGTGTCTTTCCAAAGTCCTTACACCTGTGAAACCATCAGAAAACCGGTACATAAAGTAATGTGCATAATATTATTAATTCACCAGTAAGCTCCCTGTAGCTCACCCCATGTCTGAGAGAGCAACACTGTCACCGAGGGAGCTGAGCTTCTGGTGATCTACTCAGACAAATGAGTGTGAGGACTAGTGCTGCAAGAACCGTATTTCAAATTGCTATGACATTGATGCCTTGTTTGATGTTCTTCTAAAAACTGTAAGGCTAGACAAAGCAACCTCAGCGCGCTTCTTCATGCAGTTCAGCTTTCATGAAATCCTGATAGTATTTATCCATACTTCATGAGTCACTTTAAGTCTGATAAATGTTACCAGCTACAAACTTTTTTGAACCAAGCATACTCAGTGCAGACATCCTGAAAAAACCATGGCCTGGTTGTGTGAAATCCTTACGGTATCTCCATATTGCTTCAGGCACCCAACATTTTTCAGCCAATGAAATTCTTTGTGCTTCTTTATGTGGTCGTTGATAGACTTGCTGTATGCTCTGTCGTATGGATGTGAGTTACCCATAAATTTCCTCTTTGAGAATGTGGCTTTTTTTCTAATCAATTCCATCAAAGCCAGTAAACTACACTGAATATGTTATGACTGATATTTAAGTATTTTAATCTCTGTATGATGAAAGTGGCCAGTATTTTAAGTACTCTAAGTTACTGAAGCAGTAAAATCTCCTTGAATTTTTACTTCATTCTATTAGTTGTTGAAAAGATATATCCTTTATCCTGCCCTATATTTAGACATTAACTGCTCAGGTTGGTACCATGGTAACTGCAGCACACACAAAAATTGTCAGTGAGAGGTGACTGTTGGTGTTCAGTTTCAGTACTCACTTACAGATTAAGCACTGGCAATTTTAAAAATTACTTCAGGAAAAAATCCACATGTGCCAAAATAGACTAAAAAGGGCCAGAATGTGGAACAGTGTACTGTGGCCACTAGTAGGAAGTCAATATTTGTCTGCAGCGTCCACATCACATCACATCTAGAATAGTATTCTAGATTCTATTTCTATTCTAACTACTGACTATTCCCTAGTCAGTAGTTACAGCCAGTTAGCAACAGACTTGTAGGAGGTAGGGCTAGAACATACCATTGCAATCATCTAGTTTGCCTACACAACACTGGCCAATGCATTAGAGCTGTGTGAATAATTTTGGTTTCCTGACATATTCTTGCAGGGCAAGAAAAAATGTAAAAGTTTGTTGCCAAAAATTAAAAATTGGACAAAATTAACTGCCACTAAAATTAATTACTTTGGGGGGTGGGCTTTCTGTCTGTATAAAGCTCAAAAACAAATTACATAAATTACATTTCTAAAGCTGAAATACATCTCACTTAGCTTTAGTTGCCTGTAATGTACACATTTGTTCTAACGTGATGGTTTGAGCTTTTTCTGCACAAAGGGAGTGAATTAGATGCTTCCAGGAGGTGGTTACCTTCTCTCTTTATTTGGACATTTATCTTAAAATGAAATTAATTATCCTCAGAGAGTGCCTGTTGCTTTCTCAAGATTTTACAGGGAAATTAACCAATTGTCTGACTATAGACTTATTTTAGATAGGCAAAGTTGGGTGAGTGAATTCTATGTCACATTTATTTCTGGTTTTTAATAAACAAGATAATTTTAAAATAAAATACAGCTGACTTTATTAGCTTGATTTATCAAAAATTTTAAAAGTTATGGTCAATCCAAGCCTGCATTTTTCAGTAAATAAAATATTCAACCATTTTCCTCAATGCAGCAAGAACTGAATTAGCTTCAATTCAAGTTAAATAGTTTAGAAAATATATCTAACTCAGAATGAATGGCTTCCAGGGATGAAGTGCTCATCTAGTTGGAAGGCTGATTCAAAGCTTAAATACCCTTCTTTTTTTAAAAAAATCACTTTATTTTCTCTCTAAATTTGTCAAGCTTTAACTTCTAGGGATTAGATTTTGTCACGCTTCTGACTGTTAGCCTGCATAGCACTCTCACACCAAATCTCTGCTGCCTTTGACAGTATTTATGACAATAAGCAAACCAGTATGCCTTTGACAAGTTAAATAGATTAGGCTGCTTGATTCACTGGAAGTCAGGGTTTCCAGTGATTTATTAACCCTCATAAATCTTTTCAGAGCACTCTTCAACTTAGCACTCTACTTCTTCAAGTGCCATAACTAGCAATTGTTTTTGCATCATCTCTAAAATCTTGTTTTCTTCCAGTTAACTTAGAAAACATTAAAGAGCATAAGTTTATTAACTGGCCTCACTACCACAGCGATTAAAAATATTCTCCATTTACAGCTGCACTTAGAGACTTACCAGTTAGGCATTTTATTGCCCCATTATCAGCCAGGTTGGGCCCACTTGAGAATCATTTGAATATTGGATTACGGTGTCTTAATAAAAATATTATACAATCATATGCGTTACTGAAGTTGAAGAAAATTACATCCATCCTATTTTCTTTGCCTGTTAAACCAGATCTCAAACTTGGACTGTTATT